CTTTGACAATATCTGAAAAGCCACAATCCAAATACCACCTGCAACTGTTTTTTGTTTGTTTGGTGGGATGTTTTTTGTTTTCCCCTCCTCAGTGATGGACAGATTAACAAGACTTCAGAGGAATGGTTGCGTGGCATTATTTGTTTTGGTTGTCATTAGTGACAGTATCTATATAATATGTGATAAAAGGATGATTATAGTGAAATTGAGATGTACAGATGAGGAAAAATGATGCTGGTTTCACTGGAGAAGGCTTTATAACTTTTTCAGATCCGTGTTCTATCGCTCATACAAAGAGCAAGAGTCTAAGAAAGGGTATGACCAAGAGGAAGTTTTTGAAAAGCCTACACGTGAAACTTGCCAAGGTAAGATATAGCAGTGTATGAAGACTTGAGTTTTTAAATTAATTTTTTGTGGGAAAGGTTGTTAATGTTGTTGAACTGACTCAGTCTTTATTTTGGGACATATAAAATAGCAGAAATGTCTGTATTAATAACAAAAATATATCGATTGAGATATTTGCATAACATTATCTTCAGACATTTTAGTAGTAGTCTGAAGTTGCAAGCGGACTTGTTGAATTTCTACAGAACACTGAATTCAACATGTTGGAAAAATTTGGGAGTCTATGTTTTTTTTTCTTTTTTCCAAAGGTATGAGACATGCAATCTATGACAAACTTGATGATGATGGTCTGATAGCACCTGGGGTACGTGTGTCTGGGGATGATGTCATCATTGGCAAAACAGTAACGCTGCCAGAGAATGAAGACGAACTGGAGAGCACTAACAGACGTTTCACAAAGAGAGACTGTAGCACTTTCCTGCGAACTAGTGAGACTGGTATTGTCGATCAGGTCATGGTAACCCTTAACCAGGAAGGATACAAATTCTGCAAGATTAGGGTGAGCACTGATGCACGTGCTTCCTACTTTTAATCATTTTTGTTCTGTACTGAAGTTACCAGTTGCATGTTTTCCTATGGCTTACAGGTACGCTCTGTAAGAATCCCACAAATTGGAGATAAATTTGCCAGCAGACATGGTCAGAAAGGAACCTGTGGTATCCAGTACAGGCAAGAGGTAGTGATTATTTTTTTGTTTTTTTTTCCCCTCTTAAAATTTTATCTCTGATCTTAGCATTGGAACTGCCTTAAGTGAGTTGTCTGTGGAGTATCTACTAGGGTGCAATATATTGACTTAAGTTTAGCTAAAACACGTTTACAAAGGTACACAGCTTCTTATGTGCTACTTCAGTGCCTTTGACGTGCTTTAAAAGACTTAATTTGAATCCATGGAACTGCTTTTCTTAAAGCTGCTGTTCTGGGAAGTGCTGACTGTCTGTTTCCATGCTCTAGGATATGCCCTTCACCTGTGAAGGCATCACACCTGATATAATAATCAACCCCCACGCCATCCCCTCCCGCATGACCATTGGTCACTTGATTGAGTGTCTTCAGGGGAAGGTAAGAAGAATCTTTCATGCTGCGTGTCTGAGCAGTATGAATTAAAATGTTGTGGGTTTTTTGGTTTTTTTTTGTTGTTTTTTTTTTTTAAGATATTACTTCCTGGTAGGTGTTAATCCACTAAAAAATAAGGATTGTTCTCCAATTACTTGACAGCGAAAGCAGGTGTCTTGGGGAAGATCTGCAGTCCTGTAAATTTTGTCCAGCAAGTCAGAAGTACAGTGTACTCTCCTGTCTGTTACTTTTATTCCAAACATATCCTGTGACCTACAAAAAGGAGTAGCAAAATTGTTGATACTGGGTATTTAAAAAAATCTCACTATAAATTGTGTAGCTGATAAACAAAGCAAGATATGTTACTGTCGTGGGTATGGAATCTCAAGTTCTGGCATCAGGAGTTAAAACTTTGAAACTGTGTGATGTTGTCTGACCAGTCCTTCAGAAATCTGACGGGCTTTTGCAAATATGTTCTCAATAGGTGTCCGCAAACAAGGGAGAAATTGGTGATGCCACACCTTTCAATGATGCTGTGAATGTGCAGAAGATTTCCAATCTTCTGTCAGATTATGGCTATCATCTCAGAGGAAATGAGGTATAATTAAATATCAAATCACTGTGATTTTTTTAATTCACATTTGATGGATAAGTAAGGCTTATGATTCAGTGATTGCATCGATTCCTTCAGGTCCTCTACAATGGCTTCACTGGTCGAAAAATCACATCACAGATCTTCATTGGTCCTACGTATTACCAGCGGTTGAAGCACATGGTAGATGACAAAATCCACTCTCGTGCAAGAGGGCCAATCCAGATACTTAACAGACAGCCCATGGAAGGTAGATCTCGGTAAGGATGTTTATTAGTTTCTATACAGTGTTTTCTTTTTTCTTTGAAGTTTTTAGCCCTAAAAATTAGCTGACTCAACTTTGCAGCTAGAACTTAATTAGCTCACCCCAATTAGCCACCCAATTTCATGTGTTTGGCTTAAAATGATGTATTGGGTACAGATGTCAAGGTTTTGGTAGCAGGAGGTGCTGCTGGGGTGGCCTCACTGAGAAGGGACCAGGAGTTGCCCTGCACTGGACACAGCCACCTACAGCTGGCTCCAACAGACCCGCCGCTGGCCAAAGCTGAGCCCATCGGTGATGCTGGTGGCATCTCTATGATAACGTGTTTAAGAAAGGGTTAAAAATACTGCGTAGCAGCTGTGGAGATTAGTGAAAAAATGTGAGAGGAGCAGCCCTGCAGTCACCCAGGTCAGAGAGGGAGGAGGTGCTCCAGGTGCCGGCGCTGAGATTGCCCTTGCAGCCCATTGAGACACAAGACCATGGTGAGGCAGGTTGTCCACCTGGAGCCCATGGCGGACCACAGTGGAGCAGATGTCCACACTGCAGCCTGTGGAAAGTCCACACTGGAGCAGGCTCCTGGCAGGAGCTGTGATCTGTAGGGGACCCACGCTGCAGCAATCTGTTCCTGAAGGATTGTACCCCGTGGGAAGGGCCCATGCTGGAGCAGTTTGTGAAGGACTGTCCCATGGGAGGGACTCCACGCTGGAGCAGAGAAAAAGTGTGAGGAGGAAGGAGTAGCAGAGAGGAACTGTTATGTACTGACTGCAACCCCCATTCCCCCTGTGACCATGGGGAGGGGAGGAAGCAGTTGGGAATGAGGGAGTGAAAGTGAGCCTGGGAAGAAGGTAGGGGAGAAGATGTTTTTAGTTTTGTCTTTGTTTTTTACCATCCTGCTCCATTTTTAATGGACAATAAATTAAACTAATTTCCCCCCATGCTGAGTCTGTTTCACCTACGATGGTAATTGGTAAGCGATCTCCCTGCTTTTATCTTGACCCATGAGCTTTTCCAGCTTTTCTCCTCCCGTCCTGTGGACATGGGTGAGTGAGAGGTCTGCTTGGTGGGCATCTGCCAGCCAGCCAAGGGTAAACCCACCACAGATGAGCAGAGAATGATTTGTTACCTGAGTTTGCTATACGGTTGTGCTGTGGCTGTTAGCTGTCCAACATCTGCTTTAGAAATGCTTAGCAGCAATTACAAATTACTGTGTTCACATTCTCACTAGCAGTTTTATTCTGAGGCGTTAGAGGAAAATTAGTGCACAGGTTTATTCCTGCCGTGTAATACTGCTGTTATGTTTCTGCTAAGTTACTTGTTCCACCAACAAGAACTGATACATTTTGCAAGTGAACTCCAAAGCTGAGGTTTTTTTCTCTCTTTCTTTTCAGTGATGGTGGCCTTCGTTTTGGAGAAATGGAACGAGATTGCCAGATTGCTCACGGAGCAGCCCAGTTCTTGAGAGAAAGATTGTTTGAAGCCTCGGACCCATACCAAGTCCATGTCTGTAATCTCTGTGGAATCATGGCGATTGCAAACACGAGGACTCACACCTATGAATGCCGGGGATGTCGTAATAAAACTCAGGTACGTGTGGTTTTCATCCGCCAGTGTTTCTCTTTGTGGGTAAGAAGAAAGGCCACTTGGGTGAACAGGAGGATAGGGAAGTAAATATTTAAGGAAGCACCAGAACAATTGCTATTTTAGTTTCATAACTGTTTTAAGTGTTTATAATGTCCTAGTTAATTTGGATGCTTCCTTATTAATTTTACAGTGTTGGTTTGTCACTTGGCAGGAAATGCTGTCCAATTATTTTGCAGTGCACAGTTTTCAGAGACTTTAAAAGTAAACGCCTGAGAGCTTATTTTTAGAAGTGAAACTCAGAATCACAGGAATTTAGAGCCATCGCCCTTGTGACTATCCCCATGAAGACATTTATGCTTGCAGAGCTGGGTCCCCATGGGAGGTCTTTTGTGTTGTACACTTTTTTAATTTAAAAAAAAAAAAAAGCTTTGTAGTATGTGCTTAGTTACAGAACTATGTCAAGGGAGAGTGGCAGCACAGATAAAAATAGTTGCTTTAAACAGGCTTGTTCTTGTGCTAGGGACCAGCTGCTGCAGCTTGTAACAATGGCACTGGGGTTACTGAAGTGGTGTGTGCTGGAAATCTTAACTGCATTTACTGCACATCAGGCACGCTTTGCTATGCACATGTTCCCTTGTTAAACGGCTCTTGTTTAAGATCAGATCCCTTGCCTGCAGGTTTTATCATTAAAAATGTGTTCTGGATAGGTGCTGTGTAGCCTCTACAGACAGTCTTGGCTTCCCTCCTGCTTTTGTCATTGTCTGTGAGCAATTCTTGTTAAATGCTTTCATGCATAACTTTAGATTCACTTTTGAGTCAAAAACTTAACAAGTTATTTGTGTAGAGAGTGGTGGAAGTTAATGCTTTAGGAGTGCTTATCACAAGCCTTTTGAAATCTCTTTCCAGATATCTTTGGTTCGAATGCCCTATGCCTGCAAACTCCTCTTCCAAGAACTGATGTCTATGAGTATTGCACCTCGTATGATGAGTGTTTAGCCTTTAACAGGGCTTTTTTTTTTTTTTTTTTACAAAATGATGAAACTGAAGTGCTCAGGTTTTGTTTCATTTTGTGTAGCTTGCATTTCAAATAGTTTTACTCATCTGCTGTGTGCTGTTCAAAAGCATGTTTATTTCCTGTAAATAGAATTAAAATTTGTAATCAAACTTGTGAATCTCTTTATTTGTGTATCTGTGAAAGAAGTGTGCAAGCAAATTGGTAATCAAAGAATAAGGGAATGATTAGTGAGCTAGAAAAAGCCAGAGGTTGCAGCTTTCCAAAATACTAATTTAAAACTGTGCGTAAGTGAAAGTCCTCACATCACATCACAGCTCTGCACCATCATCTGTGGAAAAACAAAAACATGTTACGCTCTGCACTGTTCCAAGGGGTAATATCACAGCTTGGGCAGCAGCACAGCGCATGAGTTTTGTGATGTCTTAGCTGAGGGCGAGACCGTGCAACTCGGTCCTGACCCTCCTTCCTTCCCTTGCTTCCTTCCTTCCCTCCTGCAGGACTGCAGCAGCAGGGGGATGGCAACAGATGGCATTTTTCTGTGCTGAGATCACCTGGACACGGGGCACAGACTCCCTGACTGCGTAGTGTGTAGCTATAACATCTGACAGTTTGTTCCAGTAACGTTATCGATGGCCTTTAAGTAATTGTGGATGGCCGGCTCATTGCTTAGCTACAGCATGCTGCTTACTGGAGAGCTTTCCTGCAGCTGAAAAGAAGCCGCTGTAACATGTGGTGTGCGTGTCAGCGATACGCCATGAGGCAATGTACGCGGCACTGTGACCTCACAGCAGAGTCACTGTGAGAGGGGGAGTGAAGATCTGCTGCTGTGGGGTGCAAGTGTGCTGCTCGTGGCACAGGTCAGTAAAACTCAATTTCATTCATGACCATAAACAAGATGTTTGAAAGGGGATTAGAGACTAGCTAAAAACCTTTCGCAAAGTTCCTACGTGTAAGTGATACTGGGATTAATTTTATGCTCTTATTTCAGTGCCAGGTGCTGTTAATCTCCTATAGGAAGCCTTTCAGCTAGGATACAGAAAGTCAAGACTACACAGTTTGGATAAAGCTACTGGGATTAAAACTAAGGATTATGTCCAAACATGGATTTGGGCAGCACAGTGTTCTCTAGCTGGATGCTTTGTTCCCAGTGCCTCTGCCTCTAGCATGCTTACAGTTACTATTCCAGCTCTCCGGATTTGTTCCGAGGCACACGTGGCTGTGGTACTAAGCCATCCTCTCAGCAGCTGGAATGAGGGTGGCTGGTTTGCCATCAGCTTTCCACATAGCCTGGCAAAGAGGACCTGGGTTTGAAAACTGGCTGAGGGTTGGTGAGTAAAGGCTTCAGGTCTTGCCTAAAGGCCTGCGGTGGAATATCTGTCCCCTCCCCAGCCTGAGAGTCCAGTGTGCAGAGAGAAATGGCAGGGACTGGGATGTTTCCAGGATGGGGAAAAATAAGGAGATGCAGGGACTTGGAAGGACTTTACGTGCTTGAAGTTCCCCCTCTGTCTTGGGGCTGGTTGTGCCAATACTGCTCCTAGGAGAGAGGGGCAGATTTGGAAGCATCCAAAGAATGCTGAAAGGACGATACAAATTTAGGGCTGGAAAACAATGAGAGTTGCTTTGTAAAAACCCCAAAAGGTGTTTTTAATTCAGTGTCCTAATCTCCAGTACTTTACAGCACTTGGGGGGGTATTTAACAATCCCTTGAGAACTGTGGCAGCAGCCATGTGCTGGGAGTGTCTTGCCAAGCCCAGTAAAAGCTGCGTATTAAACTGGTAATTTTTTTTTCAGACAGCATCCTTCTGTATCAAATAACTGAGTAAACTGTTAGGGGAAAGAGCTGCTGAGTGTTCAGCCACAGTAACCTACCTTTGGTCAGGGCTATTTCATGCAGAGTTTCCACAACGTGGATTTTTGCAGAAGCTGTTGCCTCTCCTTTGGCATTTGATGCATGACACTCATATTCTCCAGCATCCTCCTTGCTCAGAGGAGATATCTAGGGGGAGAAACACACACCCCCATCCCTCAGTAAGCATCCTGTGCATAGGCAGAGGTGATTCCTTTTTAAGGTATCTTATATAACTTGTTAATTGCTTGAGACATAGCGAGGTGAACAGAGTGCATGAAGTAGTGGTTAACCCTTAGAGAACCACACTGACCACGTGATTTGTTCTGTCCAGTCTAAACAGTCTGGTTCAGATTGCGGTGGCTCTCTCCAGTGAGGTTTGGGAGAAGCACCCACTCCTGTGGATCGGCCTAGCTTTCTTCTCCTGTGCTGGGCCAGATTACGTGTGCTGTAACGCTCCCTCCTTTTATTGTTTATGTAGTTTGGAGATGTGTCAGAGCACTGCGTGCTTGCTAAGTGGAGGGAGGCAGGAAGCAAAAGCCTACCTACAGCGTTCTGCATCCCGTCAGCCAGTTCAGGTAAACCCTTCCCTCTCTTTGTCTCCACCTGTGCTTTTGTAACTGGTGGGAACCAACAGCCTGAGCTGTACTCCCCTGCCCAGAGCTTCTCTGCAGCTGGGAGCCATCATTCTTGCAGTTCCCTTACTGGGACGCACAGCTGCTCCCTCTGATGGGTGGCAGTGGCAGACGAGCCTGCAGGTACTCCTGTCGCTCAGGAGGTCTGCGGAGCGAGAGCTGAGGGCTTCTGTGCTGGGCTGTTCTCAGGTGGGCGATGTGCTTCACTGAGGAACGGGCAATTCTGCCACATCCACAGGGCTCCTCAGCTGTGGGTGGGCTGTAGGGATGCCTTGCCTGTGTACTGATTCCTTCCTAGACATGGCAAGGGTCTCCTTCCCACGACTGGCACCAGGAAAGTAATGACATGCAGAAAGAAGATCTTTTATTTAAGTCTAGCCTTCTCTGATCACGGAATGCAGGCTTCTCCTGCACACCAGACAGAGGTGAAAAATGGCAATGGGCAAGGCTGCTCTGTGTTCGTGAGCTGTCTGCAAACTGCCCTGCGCTGTCTGTGCAGCTCTGTGCATACACAAAGTACTTACGAGCACCCAGCCAGTTACTTCGTGTTTCTCAGGGCCCCCACGGGTCTGGATAGCCAAGTTTTCCCGGTCCCCAGGCAGGAGCTCCATCCTCTGGACACCATACTGTCCCCGAATTATCTAAACAGAAGGGGAGAAAAGGGTAAGAATTTGGGGGGCTTATTTGTGCTGGAACTGTTAGGACCGCACCTGCACACAGACAAGATCAACACATTTTTACATGCACGCGTTTTGTGCAGTCGCAGTGTTTTTTCCAGCGCCAGCCTTTCACCTTACCCTCCGTGCCCTGCCGCCCCGCTACCCCAGGGCCTCAGGGTCTGCACGGGGGCTGCGCTCCCCTCGCCTCGGCAGGGACGCAGGGAGCAGCACAGCTTTCTGGGGTGGATGGTGCGGGGCAGGGGGGTGTGCACACACACGCCCTGCACCAATGGTCTCGCAGAACTCGCAGGCGCGTTCCCAAGGGTGTGTTTAGCCGTCAAATGATGCCTGTGCTGAACGAGGAGGGTTTGGCTGCCTGCAGCTGCTGGTAGACCGGCAGCAAACCAGGTCCGCAGGGGCTGGGGAGGGGGACCCCATCCCCTTCCCACCAGGCCAGGGGCAGCCCTGTGGGTTTCTGCTGCGGCGAACTGGGCAGTCCCTCCAGGCGGGCACAGCATCGATGGGAGAGCAGCAGCGCAGCCATTCCCCAGTGCTGCGTATCCGAGCCCAGAGCATAGCACGGGGTAAGCGGTGCTCAGCCCTTGTTACCACCAGGTCACGCAGTCTCTCGGCCGTGAGAAACAGGCACGAAAAGCAGAGCAGCACCGACAGTCAGTGTAAATGTGGCCTCTACTTGTAAACAGGCAGGAGATGCTGCCTGGGTCAACCTGCCTATGCTGTACGCTCACCCGACAGGCTGCTCTGGGACCCCCGTGAATAGCGTTTGCTGTCTCCAAACACAGCAATCTCTGGGCCAATCTAGTTTTTTTTTCTGTTGTATTCTTCATCTAGTATTGTTGCAGCTTAATTTTAAGATGCCTCCTGAGCATCCACAAACCTGCAGCATGCAAAGAAGCTGCAGGGGCCGTGCAGCGGCTCTCAGCCCTGGGGCTGGGATCAAATCTGCTCCAGACTGGGCCCTGCCCTAAGCCAGGTGTTACCAGCACGCTGCCAAAACCACCACACTGCCGGCTGGCGGGGACAACCGCCCCACGCCATTCCCGCGCCCGTGTCCCGCCACCTCCGAGCCACTGCCGCCAGCACGGTGACCACAGGTCAAGGGACGTTCCCCGCCTGCTCTGCATACC